CAGGTTTAAAAAGTACAATACAACTACAAATTACAATTAGATAGGAGATTTAAGGAGATGGGAATACTGGTGTCTCCACAGTTTAGACTGGTATCAGATTGCACTACGTTTGGTGTGAGATAATGCCAGATGCATTTATCCTACAGATAAAACTATGCATTGACTTTCGTTAGCTGTTATTCTCTTTACCAGCTGGTTGCAGTAATGCACTTAGAGGTTGTTTGCCAATCAGTTTTGAACTAGAAGAAGACAAAAAGCACAAGCAATGATAGAAAATCTTGGACGAAATGTCGTTTTCAGTGATTGAAAAACAATCCAAAAATGAGTAAACTTGTCTTAGAAAAAGTGTATTCAGCCTTAATTTGAGTAGGTTTATAATGACATAGCAAAGAAATTTGCATTTTTAACCTAGAAAATAGATATTTAAACATTATGGACTTGAAATATGAGACTGCAGTTGTTTTTTTTCTTAGTTTAAATGTAAATGGTCTTGGTCCAATGACACAATCTCCCATTTACCTGTTAACTTCAAGAAAAAACGCACTTATTTTAAGATGGTTTTGTTTTTGTCTTCGACCTTTTTTCATTTAAAGGCTTTTGGCGAAAAACGCTCAGGAGTATAACCGCCTCGTCGGGAGTGAATTCGTATTTGTAAATTTCAAAAGTTGTAACTTATTGTCCTTACTTCTAAGCTTTTATTTTCACAGATGAAACTTCTGATGTCGTGTAATTTTTACTTTTTATTTTTACATTTCTTCCCATTTGACTGATTTTACGAATTCAGAGCCCTGACCCATTGTTAGTTATCTTAAACCATGGAAACCTTCCGTGTATTTTGCACGGCTGTGCTGCACGTCCTCAACCAAACGGACCCTAAATGAGCCTTCCAGTCTGACTTGAATAAAGGTTTCACTCCTTATATCAGTGAGGTCAAATAGCCTCACTCAGCAGTCGCAGCTGTTGTTTATCTTTGCTAACTGCTGTTTTTTCTCTTCAACACAAAGTTGTGATAAATGTCAAAGCAAAGCAGGGTTTCCTGTAGGACTCGGCTAACAGGCGTTCATGCGCATCTTAAGCAGAACTATAATGAAATAATGCTTAAATTTGTAGCTGAAAGTAAACCTTACTTTACAAAAAAATTTCTTTTATTTTTTTATTGACATTGCCTGAATCCACTCTATATGCATTAATCTTAGCAACAGCAAAAACAGACAACAAAGACGCAATTATGAGTTGAATAAATGATTCAAGCTATTTGATAATTTAAGTTTATTTAAGAGTAAAAGTTTTAGAGAAAAGAAGATACTTAAAAAGGAAGTTAATGTTATATTAAGAGCTGAAACAATTAATTTGATTATTGGATTACTGAAATGATCGTCAACTGGTTTAGTAATCGATTAATCGTTAAGAAAAGGAATTCTATCAAGATTATAAGAAAATATATCAACATTTTTAGGAATGAGACTAATGATTATTTTGCAAGCCGATTATTTTTTCAATTGATTAGAAAGCTTTTTGTGAAATTTAACCAGGGGAAACTAAAAAAAATTAAATTTGTGGACTTAGGATAGAAGATACTGATAGATGAAAAAAAATATTTTTAATCTTAAATGAGAAATGTTGATATATTTTGATATAATTACTGCTCTTAGTGGGTCACTCTGTCAGCTAAAGGCCATTTTTACAGCCTCAATACTCCATTTAACAATAATCAATTACTAAGTTAGTTGACAGTTATTTCAATAATCAATTAATCAAAATTAATCCGATTAATCGTTCAAGCTCTAAATATTTAGCATTTAAGATAATAAAATAAAATACAAATTTCCCTCTGTCAATATGCTCTATCAATAACTCAAGTGGAAAAGTTTTAGTGTCACATTCACCTGGTTTAAAATAATACAAAAATCTCCTTTAAGTTGCCTTTGGCTATCCGATTATTAATCGCTTAATCGAAAAAATAATCAACAGATTAATCGAATTGCTAAATAATCATTAGTTGCATCCCTAATTTAGATATTTATAACCCAGGGCAGAATCATCGGCAGCTTATTGGCACTACATTAGCTATGGGAAAACAGAGAAGGCTTCTTCCCTGTTTTCTTTGCTAAAGGCTTCAGAAAAGTCCCCAAGTTTAGCAACAAAGTCACTAATATGGCAGCACTGCGCTGTTGTCTGCAGATATTCCTCACAGCGGCGCACTGGAGCCCCCATTAATCTACATACACTAGCCAGCCTGAGACGGAAGCTGAGTTTTTTTTTTTTTTTTTGATAAATTAATTTGTAGATATGCATTATGCTTTACGTTAGTGGCTGTGGCTGAAGCTCTAAAAAAGTAATCCAGCTTGATTGTTCTGGAATCGTCTTCTTAAAGTTCAGATACTGAGAGCAGTGAACATTGAGTTTAAGGCTGCTTCCCACTGACAGGTCAGAGAGTTCAGTCTGTTTTCTGCAGACATGCTGCAGATTTTCTGCAGGAGGAACTCTGCTCAGCTCTATCAGGGTGTCTGAGCTTTGCAGGTTCAGCTTTCTGGATGCTGACAGGTTCTTGGACTGAGTGTGAGCCGGCGCAGCGGGAGGATCCAGGGAGGGAGGAGGCGTGACGGAGGGGAAACCCTGCAGTTCACCCCCTCCCCCTCCTGCTGCTCTGACGGACCGTTAAAGGCATCAGATCGTCTCCATGCTGCGATCCCAGCTGTCATTGGCTGATCCTCAGAAGGACCCTGCAGTGTGGGCTGAGCTGATTGGCCGCGCCGGGCTGCAGTGAGGATGCAGCTTTCTGGAGGATGACTGTGCTGCGTTTCACCGGCTGCTGATGCTGAATCAGTTCGTCTCTCTGGATTGGATATTCCTGAGCACAGCTGCTGGAATCGATGAACGCAGGACACCCAGGAGTTCTGGTGCAGCCGGGAACATTTTGTCTCTTCCTTCCTGCTGAGGAGGAACTCTGTCAGGTTTTGGGCTGTAAATGAAAACGATGTTGCAGGAGGTTCTGATCTGGACATCAGAGACAAACTGAACTCCAGCTGGTCTTCATCACTCCTTCTGTTGGACTGGGAGCTGCTTTCAGGATGCTCCAGGACTTCCTGACTTTCCTCAGCCGATCAGTCTTCGGCGGGGCTCACAGCGAGCCTGCTGGGAACCAGTCTACAGATGACCAACAGTCTGAGGAGGCTGGAAGCTGTGAGATGCTCCAGGTTGTTCTCCAGAGAAAAACTTTCAACCCGCCCAGCAGTGAGGATTCTGCTCCCAAGAAAACCCGGATTTTAATCCTAACAGCGGTGCCTCCAGATTTACAGAAGGTACAGTAACACCTCAGGATACCTGGAGCTCCTCTGGAGGTCCGCTCTCTGACCCAGGGGAACGGTCCTGAGAAAAGAGCTGACTGAGGATCCAACTTTAAAATAGAGAGACGTTTAATCATTATGGAGCCTCAGAGGGGACTGAAGATTTGAATTTACCATTAAATAATTAAATGTACTGTTTTACTGAAAACATTGAATAATTCAATGTATGCCTGCTGCTACTTACAGCAATCAATTAATATATGGATTTGTTTTATAAACTGATCAAACTAGCAAGCAAATTAAATTTCTGAAGAAACAAGTTAGACATTTTTAATATAAATGCTGTAAACTTGTAAAGTAAATATACTTGCCTATGCATGTATATACTAATAAGATTTTTTATTTTACATTTACAAATGTTACTTTTTCTCTGAGTTTTGTCTTAATTACTGCTCTAAGTGGTTTGTTTTTGCCTGTGATCATTACTTTAGGTAGCAATCTAATTCCCAAATTAGTTTTACAATTGTTTAAACATTTTTTTTTTTTTACAATTAATTGTCTCAGCCAAAATTAAATGTCAGTTATTATAATATATTCATTTAAATACACATATAATTTATCACTCTGTAATTATTTATTTCATGGCATTTCATGAAATAATGAATTGTAGACCCCACCCTTCAAGCTCGGTGGGCGGGGTTAGTTGTCTCCTATAGAACCCTGATTTCTGATTGGATGCTTCACACATTAAGGCAAGAAACACACAGGCTGTGTTTGAAGCCAGCGGCTGCATCCTCGGACGGACTCGGCCCACCTGGACTGGAGTTCGGTTTTAGATTCAAACACGTCCAGCTGTCACCGCCCCTCACATGTCGCCTAGCAACCTCAACAGTTGATGCACAAAGCTGCAAAGAATGGATGCCGAACTCCTCACTACTGTTCTGTGTGTTCATTTCATTGTTGAGGAGCTTCAGCAGCAGTACCGTCATCTCAGATATCAGATTTTTAGTCCAAATACTGCAGAGATTTTGGAATCTGTGCTTCAACGTCAGCCAAACCCATTTAGACAGAGACAGATAAAACCTTCCAATAAACCGCAACTTATCTGAAACTATTCACATACTTCGTATTATCTTAACCTGCGCTTAAAAAAATCACTGTTCTGCGCCATTTACCTTTTTCCTCTAAGCACGGAGCAGCCGGCTTGCTTCAACCTGCAATGAATCATGGGATACGGTAGTCCATGAAGGATACACCTGACCTGTCCTTGGATGAAAAAAAGGCCGCATACGAAGGAGCCTTTGAATCTGAACAGCCCTTGGCGCCGCGCTATGATGTAAACGGCCCATCGAATCTGATCTTTGGAAGAAGCAGTTGCCGGATTCGGACACAACGACTGTCTTATGGTGATATGCTGATCGGTGGGCAGTCAGTGAGGACGTTACATGTTGCCCAAGGAAGCTGGAACCAAAGCTATGACTTGTGGATTGGAAAAAGACTTCTATCCTCACCGAGTCCTGAGCAACCCTTGCTTTTAAAAAGTTTCCCTCTAATGAAATCCAGCAGATTGAGTCTTTAAGGTTTACAGAAATCTATTCTAATAGGCAAGCATGTGGTGATAGTGGGGAGGAAGAACAGCCTGTCTGCAACAACACGTCTTCAGACTGTTTCCAGACGCCTCTTATTCTCCTTTTCTGTCTCTGATCTTTTCAGAAAATAGTCAAAGCAGGAGATAAAGACCAGGACGGGCAGCTGGACTTCGAAGAGTTCGTTCATTACCTCAGAGACCACGAGAAGAAACTGCGGCTGGTCTTCAAGAGCCTGGACAAGAAGAACGACGGTGAGGAGCACGCTGAGGTTCTCACACTGATCCAGAATTTCCCAAAGTTTCCTCAGTCTGGGAGCAGACGGCTTCAGTTTGGGTCGGTGAAGAGCTTTGCTTGACTCTGCTGAGGCAGCGATCCGGAACGCCCGCTGACCTTTGACCCCGTCCGTGTGTTTCAGGCAGGATCGACTCGCAGGAGATCATGCAGTCCCTGCGGGACCTGGGCATAAACATCTCTGAGGAACAGGCTGAGGAGATTCTGAGAAGGTGAGGACCCATTAGTTAGCAGTCAGAAAGGGTTCTGAAGTTGATCCTTCTGAGGGTTTGCTTCTCTGCTGTATTTCTGTCCATGCTGACATAAAACCTTATAGTCAGACGGCGCTAAAGACGCCTGCTGACGATCAAAGATGGAGAATCTATATCCACCTCAGTATGGTTCGTGTTTTTCAAGAATGGTACTTAAATGCAGCGTTTCCAAATGTTACTCTGAAAGCTCAGAAAGATCAGAATCGTAGAAACTTTGAATAAACGAGATTAAGTCAAGGATCAAAGGTTTTAATACTGGAATCAAATAAGTAAATATTTCTATATCTGATCCTACAAATCACATTCCTATCAAAGTGTTTTAAAAGGAATTTAAGCTTTTTTATTCTTATTATTCGATTATTTAGTTATCTCCTGTGCTACTGTACCTGTACTTCCACAGCAGCTTAACAGCTGACCAATCAGATTGCAGATAGCAGCACAGGTCCCGCCCACTAAATTATATCACGACGCATGATTAAGAAAATACATCAAAAATTCAACCAGCAGTAAGTTATTTATTTCGATGAACGGATAAAGAAACAGATTTAGAACTAATTTATTTCCTCATTTATTTAACTTTATGTTTATTAAGTAATGTGTTGGTTTTTTGTTTTTTACTTTCTGGATTTCAGTTTTGTATTTTGTGTTTAATTATTTACTCAAATTATGTGCTATTTTTTTAAGGTGTTAAACTTCCCAACCATTAAGTGAAACAAACTCGCTCGCCCGCTGTACCGTTTGCCAGCTGTCAGGTCTGCTGATGCTAACGCTAACCAAATATTTAGCTTACAAGTTCAGAGGATAAGCAGTTACCTCTGTGTGGCTTCTGAGCACTAAGGCTCAAAAGTTTGACTGATGTTCTTCTAAGTTTTGCTTCCTTTCTTTTTATTTGTTTGTTTGGCTTGAATCTGAGAAGAAACCGTTTCTCAGCTCTATTACTAAACTACTAGAACCTGTTAACTCAGGAGCTCATTGTCAACTGACTTCAACCGACGGCTCCTATTGGTGTCGACATTGGCCTCATAACCAGCAGTAAATGTTTGGATCCATCAAAATTATAACACAGTTTATTTTATACACTATATTTTTTTAATTGAAATGTACGGAAGAGGATTAGGGCCACTGAAAAAAAAAATAAGTTAACTCATTTTTAAATTTTATTTCAGTTTAACATGGGATAATCTCTGAATTCTGACTTTTTTTTCTCAGAATTCTGACTTTAATCTCATAATTTTGGATCTTAATAGATCCAAAATTCTGATGGGCCCCATGAAGGAAGTGATGTGGGAGCACCCATCTTCACTGACAAAGATGTGAGCTGTTTGAGGTGGCCAGTGACACATTGGTGGAAAATGACAGAATTAGGCAACTTTTTACGTGCCAGAGGGGTTCCCTCATTAATGGAGGAGCAGAAGGTCATTAAAACAAGAGAGCTAGTCTCTAAAACAGACATGGCTATGGCTTGATGCTAACATGTTTGTTAGCTGTCAGAATTCTGAGAAAAAAAAGTCAGAATTCTGAGATTAAAGTCCGAATTTTTAGAAAAAAATCATAATTCTGAGATTAAAGTCAGAATTCTGAGAAAAAAGTCAGAATTCTGAGATTAAAGTCAGAATTCTGAGATTAAAGTCATAATTCTGAGGAAAAAAATCATAACTCTGAGATTAAAGTCAGAATTCTGAGAAAAAAATCCGAATTCTGACAAAAAAGTCAAAATTCTGAGATTAAAGTCATAATTCTGAGAAAAAAAATCATAACTCTGAGATTAAAGTAAGAATTCTGAGATTAAAGTCATAATTCTGAGAAAAAAATCAGAATTCTGAGATTAAAGTCTGAATTCTGAGATTAAAGTCAGAATTCTGAGATCAAAGTCAGAATCAAGAAAATAATCTTGTTTTAAGAAAACATAAATATCGTACAGTATGTGCCCGGTTTAAACGACTAAAACGTTCATCCCCTGCTGGACTAGTCTGTAACTACAGGCAGTTTTAAAGAACAAAAGCGTGTTTTTAAGCTGCAGCTCCAGGAAACTGAGCAGAAGGTCCACCAGGCTGAGTCTGATCAGGGAGCTGGATTTATTGGTCAGAACGGTTTGAACTTTTAAAGCAGCAGATCGGCACAATGGCCGACCCAGACATAAATCATCCCACCTGTTATTCCTACAGTCTGATTTTAAAGTTGAATCTTTAGCAGCTTCAGGTGTTAAAGGACGGGGCTCCCTGCTTTGATCAGATCTCACAGCTCTTGTTCGTTTAAATGTTCTGATCCGTCACTGATGAACGATGTTCAGCAGAGCGGAGGATCTGAAAGGCTCTCCAGGCTCTCAGCTGTTTGCTCTGTTTTTACTGAGTCAACTGAAGCCAATCAGCCAGAACATTATGACCACCTAACCGACATTAGATAAACCTCACCCACCGTCCGTTATCAGACCTCGGGAACCGTTACCATGCCAACGGGATCCATTTAAATATAGACTCACTTAAACCCAAATAATCTTTATCAGATCCAAATCCCAGAGAGTTTATACCTAAACCCCTTCAGTTCTGTTTGATCACATACTTGAACACTTTTATCATCCAGCAAAAGAAAAAAGATGATTTTCCAGCTAGAAAGCTTGATGGATCCAAACTCAGTCTCATTTACATTTTTACTGCACTGCACCTTAACCCTCTGGTCCACTGAAAGGCGAAGCTCCTTCCCAGCTGATCACAGCAGCTCCAGTCCGTCAGAGCGACTCCATCTGAAGCTTCCAAGATACGAAGCAATTGCTGCTTCTCTGAATTTTTGGATGCTATTTTTTTTTTTTCCACCTGGACTTAACGTAGTGTTTAAAAGTTTAAAAGTAGACTACATGAACAGACCATGGATCCACTTTCACTCCGAAGCAAAAACTCCTCTGGACTTTAATGCAACAATACATTTTTCTTATACAGTTAATCAACAGACATAATAATTATGAGCACAAAATCATAAAAATAACAGAAAACTATTATTTGAACACAGTTATTTATGATAGATCCGAGGTAAACAATGTGTATTGATAATGAGCAATCACACGAGATGAGTAGTACTGTCCAAACAACCGTACTACTGGTTTACGGTTCTATTTAAAGCCTACAAGTACACTATTGTACTACACGATGATGCAATCCTCACCTGATCCGAGTCCAGCCTGGCTGAGGCTCTCTGACTGCTCTCTGGTTTTCACAATCATTGTGATTTGATCCTATAAATATATATGGTGAGTGACAATATATCGTGATATACATTAATATAAAAATTTTATGAAATACATAGAGATCAGATTATTTAACTAAAACGTGACTCAAATATTTGATATACTATGAAACTATAAAACCAACAGTTTTGAACAGTTTATTGATGTTGGCTAATCATTTGAATAATTTCTAAACTGAATCTAAACCATTTATAAAAGCTAAATTGATTGTTTATTAAGGTCTTAAAGGAATAGTACACCCAAAACATGATTAGCCTTCATTTTCTACTCACCCCCATGCTGAACAACACCCTGGAGTACTTTTTTGATATCTCAAATGCATCTGGAGATCTGGGAGGCTTCTTGCTGTCTGCTGACATTCAAATAATGGAGGTCTATGGCGCCCGAGGCAGAAAGGTCCATAAAAGTCCACAAAAAACGTGTCAATATTCCTCCATATTGCTCGTCCAATGTATTCCAAGTGTCCTGAGTGGGTAGCGTCCATAATTTACTCGAAACGAAGTCATTTAGAATGTTTTTAGAGCATAAACAGTACTGTATAGGATTTCCTAAAAGCGCGTTCACGAGTCTACGGAAACCGCGGCAGACCAAACCAGACGAAAGTGGATTATTATACAAGGGTAGTGCATAGAGTATTTACATATATATATATATATATATATATATATATATATATATATATATATATATATATATATATATATATATATATATACATAGTTATAGTTATTGCACTGGGATTCAAATATAAAGCAACAGGTTATTGCACAGGGTATTAAATAGTAATTGCACGTTATATATTGCACAAGTTATTGCCGTTGTAGTGTCATATTATACAGTCTGTAGTGTATACTGCTCTACCCTATTAAAGGAAAATGTTTCTACAATTCTGGATAATAATTTCCTTAAAGTTAATTTTCTTCGTTTTATAACTAATGGTTAGGGTTGTCACGATACTAAACTTTTTACCTCGATACCGATACTTAGGAAAATATTCGATACTCGATACCATTTTCGATACCACAAGGATAAAAACAAAGACTCCAAAATTCAACAGAAATTTTCATTAATAATAAAAATACAATAAATAAATACAATAAACAATAAGAACAATATTTTGAGGTTGTATGCTGTGCACAATATTAAGCAAGCTTTAATAAAAAAACTTATAAAATTAAAATTAAGTGTTCCTGCCTTGGCTATGCTTTGCACACATAACAATGACACTAGCCAAACCAGTTAATAAACAAAAATTGTTTTTTTTTACTGTTACAGACAAAAAGTCTGAAACTGAAAAGTGCACAGAATTATTCAATCACACAGTGTTCAGAAATTTCATTTTCCTCTATTCTGCACTTTAGATGAATGACTGTTTAGGTGCCACTGGTGGTAGCACTGTATCGATACTTTTAAAAATGAGTATTGTATCCGGATACGTTTCAGTATCGATACTTTTTTGAGTATCGATACTTTTGACAACCCTACTAATGGTAACAGTGTCAAATTTAACTTTGCATCATCTTGAAAAACTATTTATTTTGGTACGTAGTGAGCAACAAGTTGGGGCAGCACCGAGTCCAACCACAAAGAAATTAAATTATCTGGATGAAATAAATTGTTTTGATGGTTTTTATTATTTTTTTTTTTTTATGCCAACAGGCCATAACGAAAATAAGCTCAAATGAAACAAAACTTGTAGAAGCCAATATGTACAAACTCTATAAAAGAGAGGAAACGATGTGTGTATGGGCGTGTTCCTGGAAAAAGCTAATCGGTTTTGACAGCTTGGTCGGGAAAAGCTTTCAACCCACAACTGGCCCTTTGTGTAATTTTTTGTTTTTGTAAGAAAGCAACAGTGTAAAAAAAACAGCTTTTATATGCAAGACTACGGTGGCTGAGAAGTGCAAAACACATTTACAATTCAAAAACACATTAACAAATAAAAAACAAAATAACATTTGAAGATTATATTTTATGAAACAAATGTATTTTTGAAAAAAAGTTAACATTTTTAAAAACAACTTTACATTTTAGCAAACAAATTAACATTTTAGGAAACAAATTCACATTTTAAATAAGTTAGATTTTACGTGAGAGAGTTTCATTTTAGAGAAAAAAAAAATACATTATAGGGAAACAAATTTACATAAAAAAAAAAATTGACCGTTCGGAAACACTTGTACAAGTGCAAAGACAAAACTGCAAGCGGCAAAACACAGTTACATAGCCAAAAGCAAATTAACAAAAGACGGCTACACGGAAAGGGAATGTCCCAGTGGCCGGATGTGACGTCACGATTACCCTGACTTGTAGTACAAACAGCTCAATCTGTAGTCCTCCTGCTTCACGTGAAAAGTCAGCGGCGATTTTAGATGGAAAGAATTGCACTGAAGCTGTTTTTCTTAAGTTTACGCTAACCGAACAATGTTTTGCCCTTATTGTGGTCTCTGGAACTTTTACGGGACACGGACCAGGTGGCAGGACCAAGCAGCAGGGCCGAGCTCAATTCGTGGCAGTGGCTGCGTTGCAGCAGTTCCGGTGGTCCTGCCACCTGGTCCGTGTCCCGTAAAAGTTCCAGAGACCGTCCGCACGAAGAACAAAATGGTGTAAATTTGGCTGAAATTTGCTCCACAATAATAAAATCGCCGCTGACTTTTCACGTGAAGCAGGAGGACTACAGATTGAGCTGTTTGTACTACAAGTCAGGGTAATCGTGACGTCACATCCGGCCACTGGGACATTCCCTTTCCGTGTAGCCGTCTTCTGTTAATTTGTTTTTTGGCTATGTAAATGTGTTTTGCCGCTTGCAGTTTTGTCTTTGCACTTGTACAAGTGTTTCCGAACGGTCAATTTTTTTTAGATGTAAATTTGTTTCCCTATAATGTATGTTTTTTTCTATAAAATGAAACTTTCTCTCACCTAAAATCTAACTTGTTTAAAATGTGAATTTGTTTCCTAAAATGTAAATTTTTTTTAAAAATTTTAACTTTTTTTTCCAAAAATACATTTGTTTCACAAAATATAATTTTGTTTCTTCAAATGTTATTTTGTTTTTTATTTGTTAATGTGTTTTTGAATTGTAAATTTTTTTTGCACTTCTCAGCCACCGTACCAGACCATCTCTGGACATTTCCTGTTTACCATCTCAACCATAAGATCCCGGTTTAAAAACACTCCAGTGGCTTTAAGCGTCAGCTTAGCCCCAACAAAACTTATGAGTCTATTTTTAAACTGTAAGGAGTAGAAAGTAGAGATAATTGCAAAAAATGTAAAGAGTAGAAGTAAAAAGTTGTCTAAAATATAATTACTCCATTAGCCAAAATGTCTACTAAAGTAAGGTAATTAAGTATTTGTACTTTGTTACTTGACACCTATGCATGTGGAACGATTCCTATAAGCGTTTTTAGCTGAATGAGGCCCGCTGGGTCGGGTGGACAGCCCAGTGGGTCATCGTCAGGCCATATGTGTGTCACGTCCCACCAGGGGACAGTTGAACTGTTACAGCTGTTTCTTCTCTGTGTGTCTAACCCTGTGTCTGTCTGTCCTGTTTGTTTGGGCTGCCTCAGAATAAGGGCGGGGTTTATCTGGACCCCAGTCCTGTAGTAAGTAGCAGCTTCCTTGGTCTGCCTGTCGAGCTCCTGCTGCACAAACTGCTGCTGCCTGTTGTTGTTACAAGCTGCTTCTTATGCTTTTTTTGTTTTCTGCCGATAATCTCTGATAAACCAGAGCCCGAGCTTTTTCGCTGTGAGTTTTTAGCATGGCGTTCCCATCAGGCCGCAGCTTTGGGAACGTCCCAGCCGTGCATGTCGACAGGAACCTTTCTGTTCCGTTTTCCACCAAACCGTCACCGGTTTCTTCTCCTTCCTCCTGCAGCATGGATAAAAATGGCACCATGACCATCGACTGGGACGAGTGGAGAGATTATCACCTGCTGCATCCTGCGGACAACATTCCTGAAATCATCCTGTACTGGAAACACTCCACGGTAACCTAAATGTTTCTCCCCTGCTAACCTGATAGGAGGTCTCAGCTACTGTTCTGCCTTTGGGTCGTGGTTCCTGTTGGGACTGCAGCAGTGTGAACATGCCGGCTCCTTCCACAGATCCTGGACGTTGGTGAGAGTATAATCGTCCCTGACGAGTTCACAGCAGAGGAGAAGAAAACGGGCATGTGGTGGCGGCACCTGGTGGCTGGTGGTGGAGCGGGAGCCGTGTCCCGGACCTGTACGGCGCCTCTCGATAGGCTCAAAGTTCTGATGCAGGTAAAACATGACCCAGAAATCCCCATCACTGTCACCGGAGTGAGCAACTGAATCTAAACCAACCATTTCTACTCAGGTTCACGCCTCCAAAAGCAACAGCATGCGCATCGCCGGCGGGTTCCTCCAGATGGTCAGAGAGGGCGGGGTGAGGTCGCTATGGAGAGGAAACGGGATCAACGTGATCAAAATCGCTCCGGAGTCTGCCATCAAGTTCATGGCGTACGAGCAGGTCAGAACGCAGGTCCGAGTCTCCCGGAACTGACCCGGTTTGTTCCCGCTGAGTGACGTCTGATCCGCTGTCCGGCAGATAAAACGGCTCATCGGAAGCAACCAGGAGACGTTGGGAATGACGGAGAGGTTTGTGTCCGGCTCTCTGGCTGGAGCCATCGCTCAGAGCAGCATCTACCCCATGGAGGTGAGGAGCTGTCGTCCATCTCAAAGGCCAGAACACACCGAGTTTGAGTCCGATCCGACAAAAAATAGTGTCTGACAAGGTTGTGAGATTTAGCACTTATTGAAAGTCAGTCGGGTTGATCACATCGACAACATTTTACGCATACATAGACTACACAACAATTCTCAAAGGAAGGGAGACATTGTTACAAAGTAAAGCACATCCACTGTGGGGAAATATACTAAATGAAATCTATTAATAGACTGGGAAGAGTCAGTTTTGGAATCACACATCGCATATATAGTAAGCAGGACAGAATCGTGCAAGAACAATCAACGAATCATAAAAAAATGAAACTTTAACCATTATGGGAGGACAGGAGGACAGAAAAAGCATGAGGTAGTGATCCTCAAAAAACCAAAATAACAAGGCGAGACAGAGCAGGTAAGCATGGCGTCACTCTCTTACCTCTTTATGGAAAAAAAGAAGGAAAAACTGCTACAACCGTCCCAGATCTCTCTCTGAGAATCACTTTTCTGCCTCAGTCAGCATAGAAGCCTTCCTACGGCTTTTATTGCTGCGTTTTTCTTTTCTTTAGACGTAAATCTCATTATGTTTTTAATATATGAGCATTCTCTATCTGTTCTGGATTGAGATGCTGTACAGATTCATTAAGCACAGCTTTGCTTTATAGAATTTGTTTATAGAATTGTTTTTATAACTTATCACAATCTGTTCAAGTCATCCATCCATCCATTTTCCGTCACGCTTATTCCATTCTGGGCCGCGAGGGGTGCTGGTGCCTATCTCCCGCTGTCTAGGGGTGAGAGGTGAGGTCCATCCTGGACAGGCCTCCAGTCCATCGCAGGGCAAGACAGAGACAAACAGGACAAACAACCATTCACACACACACTCACACCTAAGGAGAATTTAGAGAAACCAATTAACCTAACTGTCAAGTTTTTTGGACTGTGGGAGGAAGCCGGAGTACCCGGAGAGAACCCAGGCACACACAGGGAGAACATGCACACTCCATGCAGAAAGACCCTGGGCCCAGAATCGAACCCGGAACCTTCTTGCTGCAAAAGCAGCACTGAGCAGCCCCTGTTCAACTCAAATGTGGAAAATTGTTTTAATTTGTGTATAGCACAGAGGCAAAAGTAAAATAAATCTGCACAGATCTGTTAACCCTGCTTAGTCAAAGCCTCTCTCTATGCAGTCCGTGTGACATGGAGAAAAATCGGATCCGAGATTAAAAAGTCCTTCTGCCGAGTTCACCAGTTTTAGTTAATCTTAGAAAAACGACTTAAGATGGAACTCAACTCAAAAAGTTTTGGAGTTTCAACACAATTTTTGCACCATATATATATTTGTTTGTTTTTGCACAGCTTTTGCATCATGTTTTTCCCAAATACTGTTTACATTCGATCACTGCTGCACTTTATGAAATGAAAATGTTCATTTTACTGCTAACCTGCTGCTCAGTCACTGTCTGAAAGCTCAGATTTCATTTTGTATGACTCTGTATACAAAATTACAATACAGTTGTATTGTTGGTTTTACTTAAATAGTGACATCACTTCCTGTCCCCTCAGGTTCTGAAGACGCGCTTGGCCCTCAGGAAGACGGGTCAGTACTCTGGGATCGTGGACTGTGGCAAACACATGCTCCAGAGGGAAGGAATGATAGCTTTCTACAAAGGTTACGTCCCCAACATGCTGGGCATCATCCCCTACGCCGGCATCGATCTGGCCGTCTATGAGGTGGGTGGGTCGGGTGGATGTGATGCGATGTGCAGCTGGTTCCTTTTTCGCCTTCTGACGTGTTTGTTTTTTTTCTCACATCAGACCTTAAAGAACTACTGGCTCCAACGCTTCGCCACAGACAGCGCTGATCCCGGAGTCTTTGTGCTGCTGGCCTGTGGAACCACCTCCAGCACCTGCGGACAACTGGCGAGCTACCCTCTGGCTCTGGTCCGGACGCGGATGCAGGCACAAGGTCCGACTCCACTCAGATCCGTTTAAATAACGGAAGAGTTTATCCATGAACAATAGTGATGGGGAATGGTTTCCTAAAGATGTGTCGATAGGTTTTATTTTTCCTTCTGTTGGTTTCTTCTTCTTCTCCTTTCCCTGTGCTGCTCCTTGCTGCCTAGTATTACCATTAGGCAATGGTAATCCTAGGCAACTTAAGGGGAACACCTAAAATAGTATTCGAGGCAATGGAACAACACGAGCTTTTCCAAACACGTCGATAATTAATTTCCCAAAAGGCCTTTAGAGAACAACCAGAACATATTGAGATGATTTTCAGGTCCTAAGTTACTAAAATCCCCTGTATTGAATGTCTATAGGTAGCACACATAGATGATGCATAAACCAGGGTCAAACTTTTACATTTTCCTCTGTGATTAAATGAAATATATTAACATTTAAATGGATAGTGTTTCCAATTGATACATAACTGAAAGCAACTGAATTCATGCATAGCTGTATTTATTGAAATTACTTTTGGAGGTGTTGCCATGAAAACAAATACTGGACAGAAATATTACCATTACTGGCGTGGACACACTGACAAAAAGATCTTAGGATTCATCAAACTTAAAATAACAAAATAAGGATAATCGGTGCCGTTTACATGGCCTCAGTGGTCCTTTAAACCAATGAAATGAAAACATTCAAATGTATATTTCCCCTTTTGCAAATGACGTGCATCATATCAATTTTGTTTTTACCTTCTTTGTTTTTAAAGCCAAAATGCATCCAAGCATCTGACTTGAAATGTGAGCCGCGGGGCGAATTTTCATAGTGTCCTCCATGTTTTATTTCATATGACTCGTCTCAGTATCCCACGGCCGGAAATGCTTGTGACACAAAGCAGCGGGCGTCAACAAATCTGCAGCGACATCTACTGGACTGGAAGTTTTATTCCACTTGGTTTGGCTGATGTGCGCCAACCATTAATGTATTTTATTTGCTCATTTTTTTTAAAATTAAGAATCGATACTTGTCTTCAAGAATCGACGCAGTAGAACAACAATTAGAATCACGATGCATCGTCATGGCGACTATTTCGCACACCCCTAGTCAGAGCCGATAACTCTGAGTTTTATGGGGCCCCAAGGAACTTTGGGCCCTAGGCAACTTTTCTGGTGTGTTGTATTTGCTTAGTTGCTTCTTCTGCTCAATATTCCCATGAAATTTGGATGGAAACATAGCTAATGATCCTGTGGGAAGCATTAAAGGAGCAAGGAGAGCAGCTCTCAGGTGAAGCCCGGGGTGCAAAGGTTTTGGGTTGAGTCTGAATTATAAAATGTTTTTAGCCTGATTTTTTTTCTGTAAGTCCTTCTTTACTGGGTCTGGTTAAAGGATGGATCCCAGATCAAGAAATTTTCTGCTTTTATTTATGACAAAGTTCTCAAAACAAAGATTAATAAAAACACTTTATTTTTGTGCCAAACATTTTCTATTTAGAAAGGATTCATTCCAGATCTAATCCTTGATCCTTAATAAAAGTCATCTGGATGCAGCTGAGGGTTCCTGAACATTCGCTCACTCGGTTCTCCGTTCTCCTCAGCCTCCGTGGAGGGCGGACCTCAGATGACCATGACGGGCCTCTTCCGGCACATCGTCCGGACAGAAGGAGCGCTGGGACTCTACCGAGGCCTCGCCCCCAACTTCATGAAGGTCATCCCATCTGTCAGCATTAGCTACGTGGTCTACGAGTACCTGAAGATCGCGCTGGGGGTCCAATCCAGGTGAAGGGACCACGAGCTCGGACCCCAGCTGGCCAAAAAGTCCCCGCTTCCTCCTTCATGTTGGACTGAACCAATCAGCAGGAAGTTTGGACAGAAGGATGGAGAGAAGTCATGAAGGAGGCAGCCGGGCTTCCAGCGTCTGTTTGCTCTGATTTTTTTATTTTATTTTTTAGTGCTTTATCACCTCTGAGTCTTAATTCAAACACCAGTTGACATGACTGAGTTACTGGAAACCAGAGGAAGAGAAGCTTCTTGAAAGGGTTCAAGTCTCTGATGGAGATTCTGATCAAACATCAGAAGCTTTGGGCCGTAAAGGAACTATTGAACCCAGCTGAGGTTAAAATAAATCATCACGACATGTTCCTCCATGTTCCTTCATGTTTCTGCTGTTTGATCAGCTGCTGTCAGCCCCGCCCTCACAAAGTGACCCGACTGGGATCAGCGGCAGCTCCGAGCACAAGCAGCTCAGCATCTTTGTCACATCAGCGATGATGAAGCTCCTCTTCAGTTCTAACAGTTCGGTTTATGAAGTTGGACCTTCGGCACCTCCTGCAGAACATGTGGGTAAAAAAAAAAAAGAAAGTTTTAAGACATCAGTTTTTTTATTTGAGTTTTAGACCTTTGGTAAAGTCAATCATCTCAGCTCCTCCGGGTCCTGATGGGTTCTGATCCAGAATAAAGTAGCGATAAACTGATGGAGCAGAACTTCATCAGCAGTTATCAGGACGTTGCTTCAGGTTTTGGTGCTGAAGAAAGACCTGAGCTGAAGTAAAGCGTTCATTCTCTGTCATCTAGATTAATAATCGGTTCCAGCCTGATGGAGCTGGTTGATCCTCAGCCGCGGTACGAGGACGCAGTGGACAGGGTTAAAGGTTACACACAGCTTCAGAAGCTGCAATGCTTAGAAGTCTAGTCCTCAGAAACGTCCAACATCTCACATTTTCTCTCATCACTCCTTTAAACTGCACAGCTCAGCCTGATGCATTCAGGCTTCCTAAAAAAAGTCAGCAATATAAGTATTTAGGGAAACTTTAATGATGTTGGATCTTAGAAAAACTCCGGAGGTCACAGACTGATTCCTGATCCTGGATTAAACCTGAAGTCACAGACTGATTCCTGATCCTGGATTAAACCTGAAGTCACAGACTGATTCCTGATCCTGGATTAAACCTGAAGTCACGGACTGATTCCTGATCTTGGATTAAACCTGAAGTCACGGACTGATTCCTGATCCTGGATTAAACCTGAAGTCACAGACTGATCCCTGATCTTGGATTAAACCTGAAGTCACGGACTGATTCCTGATCCTGGATTAAACCTGAAGTCACGGACTGATCCCTGATCTTGGATTAAACCTGAAGTCACAGACTGATTCCTGATCCTTGATTAAACCTAAAGTCACGGACTGATTCCTGATCTTGGATTAAATCTGAAGTCACGGACTGATTCCTGATCCTGGATTAAACCTGAAGTCACGGACTGATCCCTGATCTTGGATTAAACCTGAAGTCACAGACTGATTCCTGATCCTTGATTAAACCTAAAGTCACGGACTGATCCCTGATCTTGGATTAAACCTGAAGTCACAGACTGATTCCTGATCCTTGATTAAACCTAAAGTCACGGACTGATTCCTGATCTTGGATTAAATCTGAAGTCACGGACTGATTCCTGATCTTGGATTAAATCTGAAGTCACGGACTGATTCCTGATCCTGGATTAAACCTGAAGTCACGGACTGATTCCTGATCCTGGATTAAACCTGAAGTCACGGACTGATTCCTGATCTTGGATTAAACCTGAAGTCACAGACTGATTCCTGATCCTTGATTAAACCTAAAGTCACGGACTGATTCCTGATCTTGGATTAAATCTGAAGTCACGGACTGATTCCTGATCCTGGATTAAACCTGAAGTCACGGACTGATTCCTGATCCTGGATTAAACCTGAAGTCACGGACTGATTCCTGATCTTGGATTAAACCTGAAGTCACGGACTGATTCCTGATCTTGGATTAAACCTGAAGTCACGGACTGATTCCTGATCTTGGATTAAACCTGAAGTCACGGACTGATCCCTGATCTTGGATTAAACCTGAAGTCACGGACTGATTCCTGATCTTGGATTAAACCTGAAGTCACGGACTGATCCCTGATCTGGGAAGGATCCCGGATTACTCCTCAACACTATGATGGACTCAGATGATTATTTGCCGCAGGTTTTATTTATTTATTTCAATATTTATTGGTTTGACTGAAGAACAGATTTTTTCAACTTCTTCGGTTTGTTTCTTATTGTTTCTTTTTTAATCTTTTTTTAAGCGGATGATTCCCCTCCAACATTCCAACCATTACTTCCTGTCCACTCATCATCATTAGAAGAAAAAAAATGTCCTTCAAGATAAAAGCTCAGAGGAAGAAAGGTCTGATGTGTGCAGAAGTCGGCCTCCTCCACAGATCTCTGATCTCCTCCTGGTGCCGAATCGGCCCCAATGTTCCTGCTGCTGGAAACTCAAACGGTTCAGAAGTGAAACTGTGACGCGTGTTCAGACGTTCATGTTTGATGCTGACAGTTAACAGCTGGTTTTATATTAAAGGAGACGCTGCATTTTACTCCAAGTTTCTGTGTCCTTGTCATTACCTGATCATCCTCAGCAGGCCGAGCTGGATCTGACCCGACTGATGAGATGCGGTTCTTGCTGAAACACGAGCGGGATGGTTCTGATAGAGACGACAACAAACTAGTTCTATACATGTTAAAGATGCATGATAGAAGAACCGAGGGGGGATTCTGATCCAGCAGACTGATTAGTTTCCCATGTGGCTCAAACGTCAATAAATGGATCATATCCTTTTATACCTCATCTCTTGTTTAAGCAGGTTCTGCTGGAGGTTTCTTCCTGTTAAAAGGGAGTTTTTCCTCTCCACTGTCGCTACAAGCATGCTTAGTGTGAGGGATTGTATTTGAGTCAATGAGTCGATGCAATCAACTGGTTTTCCTTAGACAACTTTGAATCAATCTGACTGGATGATCTGGTTGAACTGTAAAGTGCCTTGAGATGACGTGTGTTGTGAACGTCTTCCTTTGGGCAACGACTTGAAGGCACAAACTAAACTGTTCATAATTTATTCTTTACGGTACGGCAGCATTCACAACATGTAGGCGAATAACTGTCCCCCAGACACGGTTATATTTTAAATATTTATATCTTTTAAAAACGAAGCAGAGCGTGTATGACATCATACACGCGTCGCTTTGTTTCCCTTTAAGTTGATTTTTCTGTTAGTTTATTAAATTGACATCACAAATACATAAATTTATGAGATATTATAGTTATGAGAGCCCACCTGCCCCCCCCAATCCTCCCCACCTTCTCTAGAAGCACCATAGAGAGCTTTCTGAGCAGCTGTCTCACTATGTGGTGTGGAGGCTGCAGCGCCTCAGACTGGAAGAAGGTGAGAACAGCAGAGAGGATCATGGGGGCTCCTCTTCCCTCCATTAAAGACATTTCATCCCAGCGCTGGAGTCCCGAGCCCGTGACATCATCAATGACCCCTCACCCCCCATCTTCGTGTTGCCCTCTGGGAAGAGGCTTCGAAGCATCTATAGTTTCTTCCCCACTGCCATTAGACTGCTGAATGTTTTGTAAAATGGCTTATTTTATTTCTATTTAAAAAATTAAATTTTAAAAATGTTATATTTAAAAAATGTTGCAGGACGAATCTTTTTTTTTCTACTTTTGCGGCCCTCCTCAGTCAAGGGCCCTTAGAATCTTCCAAACTTGCAGCACCCCTGGTCACACCTATGGGAATATTCTGGCTCCACCACTGCCCTGAGGTACGGAAGAGAAAAAAAAAGTTGACTGATTTTTTTAAATTTTTATTTCAGTTTAATATGGTTAAAAAGTGAGAATTCTGACTTTAATCTCAGAATTCTGACAGCTAACAAACATGTTAGCATCAAGCCATAGCCATGTCTGTTTTAGAGGCTAGCTCTCTTGTTTTAATCACCTTCTGCTCCTCCATTAATGAGGGGACCCCTCGGGCACATAAAAAGTTGCCTAATTCCGTCATTTTCCACCAATGTGTCACTGGCCACCTCAAACAACTCACATCTTTGTCAGTGAAGCTGGGTGCTCCACATCTCTTCCTCCATGGTGCCCATCTACATTAAGATCCAAAAGTCTGAGATTAAAGTCAGAATTCTGAGAAAAAACTCAGAATTGAGAAAAAAGTCAGAATTCTGAGATTAAAGTCAGAATTCTGAGATTAAAGCCAGAATTCTGAGAAAAAAGTCGGAATTCTGAGAAAAAAGTCGGAATTCTGAGAAAAAAGTCGGAATTCTGAGAAAAGTCGGAATTCTGAGATAAAAGTCAGAATTCTAAGATTAAAGCCGGAATTCTGAGAAAAAAAGTCAGAATTCTGAGATTAAAGTCGGAATTCTGAGAAAAAAGTCGGAATTCTGAGAAAAAAGTCGGAATTCCGAGAAAAGTCGGAATTCTGAGATAAAAGTCGGAATTCTGAGAAAAAAGTCGGAATTCTGAGAAAAAAAGTCAGAATTCTGAGATTAAAGTCAGAATTCTGAGAAAAAAGTCAGAATTCTGAGATAAAAGTCAGAACTCTGAGAAAAAAGTCAGAATTCTGAGATTAAAGTCGGAATTCTGAGATTAAAGTCGGAATTCTGAGATTAAAGTCGGAATACTTAGATTAAAGCCAAAATTCTGAGAAAAAAGTCAGAATTCTTAGTCAAGTCAGAATTCTGAGAAAAAAGTCAGAATTCTTAAAGTCAAGTCAGAATTCTGAGAAAAAAGTCAGAATTCTGAAATTAAAGTCAGAATTCTGAGATAAAAGTCAGAATTCTGAAATTAAAGTCAGAATTCTGAGATAAAAGTCAGAATTCTGAGATTAAAGTCGGAATTCTGAGATTAAAGCCGGAATTCTGAGAAAAAAAGTCAGAATTCTGAGAAAAAAGTCAGAATTCTTAGTCAAGTCAGAATTCTGAGAAAAAAGTCAGAATTCTGAAATTAAAGTCAGAATTCTGAGAAAAAAGTCAGAATTCTTAGTCAAGTCAGAATTCTGAGAAAAAAGTCAGAATTCTTAAAGTCTAGTCAGAATTCTGAGAAAAAAGTCAGAATTCTGAAATTAAAGTCAGAATTCTGAGATAAAAGTCAGAATTCTGAGATTAAAGTCAGAATTCTGAAATTAAAGTCAGAATTCTGAGAAAAAAGTCAGAATTCTTAGTCAAGTCAGAATTCTGAGAAAAAAGTCAGAATTCTTAAAGTCTAGTCAGAATTCTGAGAAAAAAGTCAGAATTCTGAAATTAAAGTCAGAATTCTGAGATAAAAGTCAGAATTCTGAGATTAAAGCCGGAATTCTGAGAAAAAAAGTCAGAATTCTGAGAAAAAAGTCAGAATTCTGAAATTAAAGTCAGAATTCTGAGATAAAATTCAGAATTCTGAGATTAAAGTCGGAATTCTGAGATTAAAGCCGGAATTCTGAGAAAAAAAGTCAGAATTCTGAGAAAAAAGTCAGAATTCTGAGAAAAAAGTCAGAATTCTGAGATTAAATTTAATATTTAATTTAATTTTTTTTTAATTCAATTTTATTGTCATTACACTGTCACAAGTACAGAGCAATGAAATGAACTCTCTGCATTTAACCCATCCCCTTGGGGAGCAGTGGGCTGCCATCGTGAGGCGCCCGGGGAGCAGTGTGGGGTTAAGGGTCTTGCTCAGGGACCCAGAGTGGCAGTCTGTGGGAGTGGGGGATCGAACTCACAACCTCAGGATTCAAAGCCCAATGCCCTAACCACTAGGCCGCCACTCCACAAAAGTCAGAATTCTGAGATTAAAGTCAGAATTCTGAGATTAAAGTCGGAATTCTGAGATTAAAGTCAGAATTCTGACTTTTTTCCCCATACTAAACTGAAATAAAATTTAAAAATCAGTTAACTTTTTTTTTTCCCAGTGGCCCTAATCCTCTTCTGTACTGATGAGAAGCTTACTGCTACTGGAAAATAAAGTAAATATAAAAACTGCAGGTTTCAGCATCATGCAGGTTATCTGCTGATGTAATAATGAAACTGGTTTGATAATTTTTATCCATCTAAGCAGGAATTTAGTTCAGAAAATGGTGTTAAAACAGTTTATTTAAAAGAAAAATGTCCAACTTTTAGTTTTTCCAGTTAGTGGTTTGAAATGATTGGATGACATCAGATAAAAAGCAGAGTGTGGTTATTTTAGGGTGAAATCTTTGCTGCAGTTTGAGTTTTTGATCAAACTTTTAGGGTGAGATCAGCTGATGAGCTGCTGAATCATCATATCCTCTCCTCTGGAGCTGCAGAGCCAGGAAGGTTTCTGGTTCCTCTCCTGGATCCATGTCTGGCTCCAGTCACGGGTTCTTCTCTCTTCAGGCGTCATTTCCTCTCCAGGTCTCTGAGCTGCAGGAACCAAAGCGCTCCTAAACATGCCTTCTCTGCAGCAGATCAGAGCCGCTCTGGACGGGTCGGGCCAGGCCCATGTTCTGCGGTTCTGGTCGGAGCTCAGTGAGGAGGAGAAGGAGGCTTTCCTGCAGGAGCTGGGTCAGCTGGACCTGCAGCGGCTGGAGGAGCACTGCCAGGCGGCTGCAGAGGCTGCGGGAGCCGCGCCCGCCTCCTGCAGCCAGAACCTGGACCCGAACCTCGAGCCGGTTCCCCCGGAGAGCATGGGCAGCGTGAGGAGGAGCGACCCGGAGAGCCTGGCGGGATGGGAACACGAAGGTCAGAACCAGAACCAGGTTTCCTGAAGCTTACTTCCTCTGGGTTTAATTCAGAACTATAACTGCGGGTTTTATCGCGATACTACATCACATGAGAAGCCCATTCTGCTTTAGTTCTCTGTGTGCACTACCTCTGTAGTGATTAGTTGTGAAAATATTTAATCTTTTGTTTTGTGCCAATTAATTTAGTGAAATTAACTCGACTTTAATTGTTGAAACCACAAAATAGAGGCTTAATTAAACTGGTTAATTCTCCTGAGCAGCTCAGAGGTTTTTATTTTGGATTATTTTACCTCCTGATGAAAATGTGACAGAAGTTTATAAAGTAGAAACCTCAGCATTAAACTGGACCTGTAGTTCTGCATGATCTCCGCTAGAGGGAGCAACATAGAGTGAAAAACCCTTTAACAGCACCTTGAGGAACCTTTTACTGACTGATTAGTCAGTCAATTCATTTGGATGAGATTAAACTGATTTCAAATAATAAAGTAAAAAATCTTGGTGTTGTTTTTTTATCAGGACCTGTCATTTAAATCCCACATCAAAGAGGTTTCTAGAATTTCCTTCTTTCATCTGTAGAATTTTGCAGAAATTAGAAATCTCCTGTCTAGGGGTGATGCTGAGAAACTAGTCCATGCATTCGTTACTTCAAGGCTGGACTTTTGTAATTCTTTACTATCAGGAAGTCCACAAACTGTAGTTAAAAGCCTTCAGCTGTTCCAAAATGCTGCAGCCAGAGTTCTGATGAAAATTAAAAAGAGAGATCATATCTCTCCTATCCTGGCTTCTCTTCATTGGCTTCCTGTGCGGACAGTGCTTTTATTTTATTTTATTTTATTTACTGTTATTTATTTTAGTTATTTTATCTTTTTGTGCAGCACTTTGGAAACCTTGTGTTTATTTAAACCGTGCTATATAAATAAAGTGGATTGGATTGGATTCCTGTTAAATCCAAAATAGAATTTAAAATCCTCCTTCTCACATATAAAGCCTTAAATGGCCAAGCTCCATCTGATATCAGAGATCTGATTGTTCCTTATGTTCCTAACAGAGCACTTCGCTCTCAATCTGCCTGTCTACTTTTAAGGCTAGGCTTAAAACTTTCCTTTTTGATAAAGCTTCTAGTTAGAGTGGCTCAGGTTATCCTGAGCTATCTCTATAGTTCTGCTGCTATAGACTTAGACTGCTGGAGGACATAGGGACCCCTTTTTCATCATTCTGCTTCATTCTAACTCTATTTTCTCACTCTGCAGTATTTGTTAGATCAGTCTCTAATTATCTTGCTCTCTCTTGCTTTGTGCAAGTGGGATTTATACATTTGAAACGGACTCCTTAAAAGACTCGATGTCAAAGTGACCTGATTTAAAAAAAAAAAGCTAGTTTGAGACCCCAGGCTTAGAGGAAAAAGAATAAGAAATATTTAACTTTAAGGAAGATTAATTATGTAGAAAAAACTAAGGTTGGAGCAGACATGTCTGTATAAAAAAAAAAAAAAAGTATAAAAATGAAAATAATCTATAAAACCACTGACATTCATCCTCTCTCTCCGAACAGGATTCCTGCAGATTTCCAGGAATCGTGTTGCGGTTCTGCTCCTGGCTGGAGGTCAGGGGACGCGACTTGGAGTTCAGTATCCCAAAGGGATGTATGACGTCGGGCTGCCGAGCGGGAAAACTTTGTACCAGATCCAAGCGGAGCGAATTCTCAAAATCCAGAAGCTTGCAGAGAGCCGACACGGCTCTAAATGCACCGTTCCCTGGTGAGACCCCAGCAGCCTGAGCTAAATTACCCATCCAGAACAAACTAGAGAAAATGCTCTTTGATTAGCTTTGATCACTTTTATCTGCATTTAGAAATAAACCAAGAACTCGATGGCAAAGATTCTCAGTTGTCCGGGTCATAGTCATTCCAAAAAAGTTAGAAGTTTGAAGACGTTTCGCTTCCCATCCAGGAAGCTTTTTCAATTTAAAATGTCAGAAATGGAGTTGAGTTGAAACATGTTTTTGCATGTTTTCTAAGCTAAAACAAGTTTTTAGGCTACTATATATTAGCCTGACGTAGTCCGACTCAATTCTAGTCAGAATGAGTCTGATACTGCTCCATAGAGCTGTGATTATGGGGCGTGTTTCGAACGAACCAGGGAAAAAATGCCTCTGCACTCAATTGGATAGACCTACAACCAATAAGAGCAACGGAGTGCGTGACGTATGTTAAGCGACGCATAGTTGTTGTCAACAAAAATCAAAGCGTGCAGTTGCACGCCTAGAATAAGAAGATGAGCGTTGATCGCATTTCTCTGTTCCTCTTTTTAAATAAATTTGCTGTCGATATCTTCTAGAACAGACCTAATAGCAGAATCTACTCACCCAAACTCTCCAGCGGCAGCCATTATTGTTGTCACTGAAGCGCGCTTTGGTTACTGTTGATCATCTGTCCATCATCGTATAAAGCCCGCCCTGACAACTTGATTGGCCCGCCAGATGTTGTGCGACCATACTCGCGCTGCTATTGAGCAATGCCAGACCGAACTTCCCGACCTCAAACGTTGTGGGCGGGACTAAGTTCGGAATGGCACCCAGGCTAACAATAAATAGCTTCAAACTCAACGCTAATTCTGACATTTTTAATTGCTTCCTTGAAAACATAATGTGCACAACTAAGCAATAGTTGCATTAACCCTACATGTAAACAGAGCTTTATGGGGCCTTCAGGAACTTGGGGCCCTAAGCAGCTGACTAGTATTGCCTAATGGTAAATCCCCCCTGGACCTAGCAAAAGATCGAAGAGTTTTATCCAAGATAGATTTTGTGGATCATCAGAGGCGACTGAAGGAATCATTAGAAATCCAGTAATGCTTCATTGGTATTTATAATCAAAGCTATTATCCTTAGAGTGATTTAAAAATGACTAAAGCAGAAATAGAGAAATATAAGAAATACATAATAATAATAATATTTAAAATAGCAGGAAAGTGAATGAAGTGTTGTCTCTTAAGCATACAGTTAAAGATGGCGTGAGCATGTTGATTGTTGTTGGAAAAAGGTATTCAACTATACAGTCCAGTTAAATAAACTTTATAAAGAAAATGGAGAACATCGTGGCATAACGGCCTGCTCTACTTAGAGTTTCTCTCTAATTAAAACCCTGCAGGGAGGCTGTGAAGGTCTCCACACACCGTTACCCAAACAAAGACAGATAGTTGGAAACAAAACACAATGTTCTGAAATAATCCCTGAGAAACAGTCTAGCTTGTTAGGAGAACCCTTATTTTTTATCCCAAACACATTTCCTAATAGAATAAACGACCCCTCTCCCTTAGACACCCTGTATGCAGCTCTGAGGCCTGAATGAATGAAACTCAGCAGTCATAAATCAATATATGTAAAAGGGAATTAAAAGGATATATATATATATATATATATATATATATATATATATATATATATATATATATATATATATATATATATTTTCCCACCACATGACATAAAATAACGCTTAACGCTTTATAATAATAAATAAGTGCTTAAAAAGTGCTTGCATTAATTATCTGTGCCCATGCTTTTTAAAAATAAATAATTGCCCAAGAAATGCTTTGCACGCTCGCATTTCTTTTTGTGCCCTATTGTGCCCCTGTATAATTTTGGGTCAGCTGACACCCCTGGCCTTTGATTTAGCTTTTTCTTTTTGGTCTCCTTACATTTGGAATTAAAAAGAACTCAGATTTGAACAGATCAGAACCTCCTGGAGCTTCAGATCTCCAGCTAATCAGCTGGAGCTTCTCAAGAAGTTAGCTCTTCCATATTTTCCTTATTTAAGAGCAGATATGATTAGCTAATTATTAAATGAGCTAATCCAGCTTATTGATAAGAGCTTATTTTCTTCTTCTTTTTGAGCGTGTCTTTACCATCTTTGTCCCCCTATGTTCAGGTACATCATGACCAGTGAATTCACTCTGAAGCCCACCCAGACCTTTTTTCAGGAGAACTCTCACTTCGGCCTGGAGCCCTCAAACGTCATCATGTTTGAGCAGAGGATGATCCCCGCCGTCTCCTTCGATGGGAAGGTCATCCTGGAGAGGAAAGGGAAGATCGCCATGGCTCCAGGTGGGTTTAGATCAGGCAATGCAAACAGAAACGATTCAAATTCATCTAATTGGATTTCTGTGCTTCAAGACGGTAATGGAGGTCTGTACCAGGCGCTGGTGGACAACGACCTGCTGGAGGACATGAAACGGAGAGGGGTGGAGTACGTCCACGTTTACTGTGTGGACAACATCCTGGTGAAGATGGCCGACCCAGTTTTTGTTGGATTCTGTGTGAAGAAAGGAGCCGACTGTGGAGCCAAGGTGATTGGTTGGATTATTAAGTGGTTTTATGGTTTACAGCCCATTTGAAGAAAACTTAAAGCTACAGTGTGTAATAATTACAGGGATATACAGTCAGAAATGTAATATATTATACATAACTATGTTATTTATCATCATCTACGAGCTCAGCCTCTTAACCTTAATATTTGCGTTGCCTGAGAATTCGTTATTTATAATTACATAGGAGCGGGTCTCGCAGCCATGGAGGCAGACATCTTTGCGCTACGGCAGCGCAGAGCCAACAAATTAGCGATTGCGAGATCGCCAAAACGTCTCAACGATGTAGAAAAAATAACGGGTATATTTATTATTTTAAGTCTACATGAAATCTATACCCTACACAGACTAATGAAATACTATCTGTAAAATTATCTATGTAAACAAACCTCATCACTTGAGAAGGTAGGTGATGCGGAAGTCGTGGAAGACATTTTGTCCCGTAACGCTCGCCGTACTGTTGGGGGGGAGAAGCGGTGGGGGGGAGATGTTAATGTTGCTGCAGTCTGCAGTGTGACCGCTAGATGTCGCTAAAAGTTACACACTGTAGCTTTAATCTCAAAGCACCATATTAGCCAAATGGTTTCAGAAAGGGCAACGTTTCTTTTCTTCTTTAACTGTCAGCTGGATTCACTTTAGTCAGTTCAGTAATGTCCAAGTAAAAATCTGAACCATAAGATCTGTTACTGAGACGTTTCCTTCAATTCAGTTCAGTTTATTTCTATAGCGCCAAATTCACAACACATGTCATCTCAAGTCACTTTACAGTTCAACGAGAACATACAGTCAAATTGATTAAAAGTTTTCTAAGGAAAACCAGCTGATTGCATCGACTCATTGACTCAAATACAATCCCTCACACTAAGCATGCTTGTAGCGACAGTGGAGAGAAAAAACTGCCTTTTAATGGGAAGAAACCTCCAGCAGAACCAGGCTCAGTGTGAGCGGCCATCTGCTGAGGCTGACTGGGGTTCAAGGAGACAGAAGCGGAGACACAAAAAGCAGCTGTAAAAGGCGGCCCCGTCCAGGAAACACACAGCCAGGCAGACGAGCTCCGAGCCAGCTCCCATGTCAGAGGATGAAGAGAGCACATCCAGTTAGTCACAGTCAGAGAAACAGGACCACACTGGAAAACAGGCCGATCTCCAGCATCTATAAACAAGGGTGTTGATGGCAGCAGCACAGCTGATAATTCTCTCCAGGATGGAGTCACAGCCAAACAGGAACAGACCAAATGAAGCTACTATGAGAAAAGGCAGAGAGAGCAGAACGTTAGAGATTGAACTAACAGATTCTGCAGAGTGGGAGAATAGAGATAGAATGATGAAAATGATGAAAAAGAGGTCCCTATGTCCTCCAGAAGTCTAAACCTATAGCAGCATAACTATAGAGATAGCTCAGGATAAGACCTTCAGACTAGAGACTGACAAGGAAGTGGATTATCACTCCTGTCCCGTCCCACTCCCACAGAAAAAATAGTGTCCCGTCCCGATCCCGGGCCAGAGTAGAAATCTAAATCCTGTCCCGTCCCACTCCTGGTGAAATTACTCCCACTCCCATCCCGCTCCCATTCAGAATGACTCCCGCTCCTGCACCAGTCCCATTCTTGTTGTCTTCAATAAGATTTCTGCCAATACAGGTGCTGGTCATAAAATTAGAATATCATGAAAAAGTAGATTGATTTCAGTAATTCCATTTAAAAAGTGAAACTTGTATATTATATTCATACATTACATACAAACTCATATATTTCAGATGTTTATTTTGTTTAATTTTGATGATTACAAATGACAACAAATGAAAATCTCAAATTCATCATATCAGAAAATTAGAATATTGTGAAAAGGTTCAAAATTGATGGCCCCTGGTGCCACACTCTAATCAGCTAATTAACTCAAACCACCTGCAAAAGCCTTTAAATGGTCTTTCAGTCTAGTTCTATAGGCTACACAATCATGGGGAAGACTGCTGACTTGACAGTTGTCCAAAAGACGACCATCGACACCTTGCACAAGGAGGGCAAGACACAAAAGGTCAGAGGCTGGCTGTTCACAGAGCTCAGTGTCCAAGCACATTAATAGAGAGGCGAAGGGAAGGAAAAGATGTGGTCGAAAAAAGTGTACAAGCAAGAGAGATAACCGCACCCTGGAGAGGATTGTGAAACAAAACCCATTCAAAAATGTGGGGGAGATTCACAAAGAGTGGACTGCAGCTGGAGTGAGTGCTTCAAGAACCACCACACACAGACGTATGAAAGACATGGGTTTCTGCTGTCGCATTCCTTGTGTCAAGCCACTCTTGAACCACAGACAGCGTCAGAAGCGTCTTGCCTGGGCTAAAGAGAAACAGGACTGGACTGCTGGTGAGTGGTCCAAAGTCATGTTCTCTGATGAAAGTAAATTTTGCATTTCCTTTGGAAATCAAGGTCCCAGAGTCTGGAGGAAAAGAAGAGAGGCACTTCATCCACGTTGCTTGAAGTCCAGTGTAAAGTTTCCACAGTCAGTGATGGTTTGGGGTGCCATGTCATCTGCTGGTGTTGGTCCATTGTGTTTTCTGAGGTCCAGGGTCAACGCAGCCACATACCAGGAAGTTTTAGAGCACTTCATGCTTCCTGCAGCTGACCAACTTTTTGGAGATGCAGATTTCATTTTCCAACAGGACTTGGCACCTGCACACAGTGCCAAAGCTACCAGTACCTGGTTGAAGGACCATGGTATCCCTGTTCTTAATTGGCCAGCAAACTCTCCTGACCTTAACCCCATAGAAAATCTATGGGGTATTGTGAAGAAGAAGATGCAATACACCAGACCCAACAATTCAGAAGAGCTAAAAGCCACTATTAGAGCAACCTGGGCTATCATAACACCTGAGCAGTGCCACAGACTGATCGACTCCATGCCACGCCGCATTGCTGCAGTAATACAGGCCAAAGGAGGCCCAACTAAATACTGAGTGCTGTACATGCTCATACTTTTCATGTTCATACTTTTCAGTTGGCCAACATTTCTATAAATCCTTTGTTTTTATTGGTCTTCAGTAATATTCTAATTTTCTGATATGATGAATTTGAGATTTTCATTTGTTGTCATTTGTAATCATCAAAATTAAACAAAATAAACATCTGAAATATATGAGTTTGTATGTAATGTATGAATATAATATACAAGTTTCACTTTTTAAATGGAATTACTGAAATCAATCTACTTTTTCATGATATTCTAATTTTATGACCAGCACCTGTACATTGAATCTGAATTTCTATGAAGGGTCAGTTAAGTTCCTGTTTCTAACTGCAGTAACTGTTGGTCCCTCCATTGTTGTTTTTGAGCGCGAGTGAAAAACTCAGAGCGGAAGCACTGTTGGTTTTTGGGTCGTGTAGTTTTTTTGACTCGCATTATAGTGTAGGCTTCAAGGAAAAAAACTACAAAATGGCGGCTTTCTATTTTATTTTATTTTTTGGTATCAATCCTAGTTTTTTTTTTTGTTACTATTGGTTTGCTCCCGTCTGCTCCCGTTAATGTTTAATCCTGTACCGTCTTAATCACGTTAGCGTTACTAAGACTGACTCCCATCCCACGGGAATCCCGTGCGATTCCCGAAAAAATTTCAGTCTCTACTTCAGACTCAGTTCTGCAAAACAGAAACCTGCTTTCAGCTTCATCCTCTGTGATAAACTAATGTTTCACCAGATAAATGTCTCATTTAACACTCCAGCCTGTACTAGCTGCCTCATGTTGCACCATCAGGTGGTGGAGAAGGCCCATCCAGCTGAGCCGGTGGGCGTGGTTTGCAGGGTGGGAGGAGTCCCGCAGGTGGTGGAGTACAGTGAGATCCGACCCGAAACGGCCCACCTGAGAGGAGCTGCAGGGGAGCTGGTCTACAGCGCCGGAAACATCTGCAACCACTTCTTCTCCAGGAGCTTCCTGCAGGAGGTGGCCAAGTAAGGAAGCGAATGATCGATTGATCGCGATGAGATTATCGTGGAAAATCTCATGACCCGTTAACCCTTGCAGGAAGTTTAAGGATCAGCTGAAGCCACATGTTGCTCTGAAGAAGGTCCCATTCGTCGACTCTTGCGGGAACCAGGTTAAACCAACCAAACCCAACGGGATAAAGATGGAGAAGTTCGTTTTCGACGTGTTCCCTTTCTCCAGGTACAGATTACCCGGGCCGTGGTTAGAGGTTGGTAATCCAGATTACTCCACTGTTGAATTTTGGTTTTTCTTCAGGAGCTTTGTTGTGTTTGAGGTCCTGCGGGAGGAAGAGTTTTCTCCCTTGAAGAACGCTGATGGAGCGCCTGCAGACACTCCAACCACAGCCAGGAACTCCCTGTTGGCTCAGCACTGTCGCTGGGCGACGGCCGCTGGAGCCGCCCTGCTGGACGAACACGGAAACATCATCCAGATTCCACTCAGGTCAGGAGATGCTTAACCTGACTCCGCCAGATGGATTTGCTGGATTTCCTCCGCATATCCATCTGGAAACCTTCCGTAGAAGTAATTTTGGGAAGGGGCGAAAATATTGGTTAGCTGATTGGCCTATGCTGGTGATAGACGGGCCAAATAAACCAATCAGATCAACGAAGCATATGACGTACTAACAGAGCCAATTGATAGATCAAACTCTTGTCGAAACCAGTCGGGAGAAGAGCAAAAACATCTTTTCCTCGGAGAAAAGCCTCCAGAGCAGTGTTTTGCTCTTCTTTCAGTGAAGAAATACTCTGTAATTCCGACAAAACTTGCTCGATAGCCACGCTAACGCTAGTTTCATCGGCTGAAGCCGCCATGTTCTTTAGACTGAACTGTCGCGCTTCTCGTTGCGTCACACCTCAACCCGCCTCAAAGCCAACGCTGATTGGACGTTCGTTTGGTGAACGGCTCCAAATTTTCTTTAACGGAAAGTAGCCAGACTGATCTGCGAGTGAAACCTTGAAAGGTTTCGAGATCAGGATGGTCTCACGAGGCTAGCAGATGCTGACCTCACATCACATAAAGTTAGTATTTGAGTACAGAGTAATGGCTGCTGATAAACTATGTTTTCAGATTAATTTAAAATGTATTTTAGGACAGATTTTAGTAAAAATGTGTAAATATTTTTTCCATCACAGCTCTTCTGCTGAGAACCATCCTCCTGTAAAATGTGAGATTTCCCCTCTGGTGTCGTACTTCGGAGAGGTGAGGAACAGCAACCTCCATCACATCTGATCCTGTTCATTCATAAAAAAAAAAAAAACTACATTTTCTAACAGCTGCTTTATGTTTAGGGTCTGGAGCTGATTCTGAAAGGGAAAACAATAAAAACTCCCTTCATCCTGGACGAGGAAGCGGCTAAAGAGCTTCAGGCCCGGTAGAGCTCATCATCAGCCACATGGAGAAACCAAGCCTCATAGATGAGGAATCAGAGCAACTTCATGGTGATGAGCGAGTTAACCAATCAGGGATCAAACATGAGACTTTATATAAACTTTTTTTTTTTTACACCAGCAAATAAAAAAATTCAGAGAAATTTTGTTGACATTTATATAAGAATTTACAAATAAAGGGTTATTCCTCATATAATGGCTTAAGCTATTGTCACACTGATGTGTTCTGAATAATTACAAACTGAAAAGAAGGTCAAAACCAGGCAAGAATGTAATAAACTAAACAAACTGAGTAACATGAATGCCTCTGATTATGAGAGACTGAAAACAGATCCACAGAATAGTTCAGTCAGTGAAGCTATATAGTCCTAAAGGACGAGGGCAGCACATGTTCATACCGCTTGTAGAACATTCCTTTCAAGAAGCCTGAATAAAACATCCTACATTGGAAAAAATCAAAATGTAGGTAAGTCATTTGTTCTTAAAATAAGTGCATTTGTTCTTCTATTGAAGAGATAAAAGAGATATTTTGCCAATGGAACAAGACAATTTAGATTTAAAATACGAAAACAATTGGATTGTCTTATTTCAATTGCATATTATCTAATTATCTTCTTTTAAGAGTAAAAATACTCATTCCATTGGCAAATTATCTCATTTACCTACTAAAATTAAGGGTAAATACACTTAACTTAAGAAATTTTTACTTATTTCTAGATCGTTTTTGCAGTGTATTATTGTTCAGAAGAACAAGCTTCTGTGATTGAATAGTTTATTATTTAGGGAAAACATACAGAAGTACAGAAAGGGAGGTTGCTCAGCTACACTCATATGTTTTAAAATCTGGAAAATGGAAGAAAGTTATCATTGAAATAAATCAAAGGAGAAGATGCGCTCTACCATGATATGGGAGAGTCTACAGATGCACAAAAACACAAAACCGCCTTTAATTAAATATTTTCAAAGAATTTGTGCTCTGACCTCAACAGGCTTTTTCAAAAAGAAGGACACGCCATTTCCAATCCGGTTCTTGTGCAGATCTCAGCTAGGAAGTAGTAAAAAGCCAGAGTTAGTCCTGCCACATGTTTATTCAAGGAGCCATTTCTTGTCATATTTTCACTCGGGGTAATGACTCCCTAGCTTTCTGAAACAGAAAATACAGCTATGCAGGAGCTTACTGGTGATTACCACTAACCCTCCGCTGTAAATTGGGACCAAGAAAATAGAAGCACCTTGGTTCAAAAAACATAAGATGACAAATAATTAAAAGATAAACAAAAAAAAATAGTAGCTTATATGAACAAACAGTACATTTAAAGTCCAGATTTGATTAAAAAACTATATAAAACTGTTTTAAGTGTAGTAAATAAAAACAAAACCAAACTTAGCTGTATTTATTTTGATAATGTCTGGTATTCAAATAAATTCCTGTAAAAAATGGATACTATAAACTTAGCTAAATGGTAAATCATCACATTTAAAAAATTAAGAAAAATAAAACGATGAACATATTAAAATAGATGAAAACAGTTAAATATACAACACAACATATTTTAAAAGCAAATTTTCAAAACCAGAAAGAAAAGAACATTTAAGGAATTATTTAATTATTTTTATTTTATTTTAGTGAAGAATCAAAGTATTACAAAGCATATCAAAACAATTATACAAAATTGTAAATTGAATATCTTAGGAAGTTGAGCAGAGTATGTATAATATAACAAATACAATCATACAGATAACCTATATACAATTAGAAAACAAAAATAACAGATAGTAGAACAAAGTAATTAAATAAAAAAATAAAAATACAAAAGGACTTGAATTTTAAAGTAAATTCTCATTATTTTTGCATCATTGGTTGGGCTTTAGGGTTTGTACAAAGGGTTAGTACTTCTTTTAATAAAAGTATCTCACTTATAAAAATATGTAGAGATGGGGTAATTTTTTGAAATCGGCACTTATGTATGAAAAATTTGGCCAAAAGCATTAAATTGTTATTACCATAGTTTGATTTTCTATCCCCTGTTAAAAAAACTTATTTTATATCAAAATTCAAAAGTGGTAAAGAAGTCTTCTGTAAGATCCAAAAAATATTTATTATATTGCACTGAAAAAATAGATGTTCTGCTGTTTCAATATCTGAATCATAAAATACACAAGAATTGGTAGTTATGTAAAATTTTCTATGTAAAACATAATTACAGGGTTAAATGTCATACATAATTTTGAAATGGATTTCCTTTACTTTCTGTGGAAGTGGAAATGAAAGATACCTGGTTCAAATTTTCTTTAAAGAGGTATCATCATACTTTTTGAACAAATGTTTTCTTAAGGTTGATGGAAAATATATCAATGTGAAGGTGGTTCTTAAAAATCTATTAGTACATTTTTTTTTCCAATAAAATCAAAACCGTTTATAGTTAAGAATGATTCTTTAAGAGCAATTGTTGAATTTGTTATTTTTAAGGAATGAACGTAAAGGGATCTTTAGCATCCGTAGCCCCTCAGAAAGATGGCGGCTGGAGTGACGTCTTCCTCAGGCTCCTCATTCAGCTGAGAAATAGCCACGTGATTGATATTGACCAATCAGAGCCGTCTGTGTTCAAGATGACAACAAGCCATTGGAGCAACGGAATGCTAACGGTCCGTCTGCCTTAAAGGATGGATTATGAGTCAGTTATCGATTATTTTACTGTTTTCAGACATAATTTATTAGTTTAATCTGGTTTATTCCACCAGAACTTCTCTGGTTCCGATTCCTCACAGTTTCCCTTCGATAATACCCTCCCTGAGCTGTTTACGTCCCACATTATTGCCATTCCCAGCTGACATTCCCAGCTCCTGTGAAGGTTACCATGGAGGTTCTGGAATGTTAGGACCATGTTTAAGAATGTGTTCGGTTCGGGTTTCCTGGTGAGGACAGCTCATGTGGTCCTGACCTGGATCATCACGCTGATTCTGTTCCTGTATGATACAGGTGAGCCCCCCCCCCCCCCCCCCCCCCCCCCCCCCCCCCCTCCCACTGAACTGATCCCAGGTCAGGTGTTCAGGATCAGCTCCTGGAAAGTGTGTCTCTCCCTGACAGAGCTCAGGAAGCAGGAGGAAACGGGCCAGCTTCTGCAGCCGGTTCTGTTCGTCCTGCTGGTTCTGTTGTCGGTGCTGCTGTACTTCGCAGTGTCCCTCATGGATCCTGGATTCATCTTGGCTGAAGACAGCGACCTGCAGGTGAGCAGGGGCGGTTCTAGGATCTATAGGTCCTTCTCAAAATATCAGCATATTATGATAAAGTTCATGATTTTCCATAATGTAATGATAAAACTTGAACATTCTTATTTTTTAGATTCATTGCACACTAAATATTTCAGGTCTTTTATTGCCTTAATATAGATGATTTTGGCATGAAAACCCCAAATTTTAATTCAGCGTATTGTAAAACAATATTTAGAGAGAAAATGTCACCTATTTATTAATCATTAGTTGATTCATACGATCAAAATTGAATCCGCTGGACTTTTTTTTTTCCACGTTTTAAAACGTTTCGCTTCCCATCCAGGAAGCTTTTTCAATTCAAAAATCCTTGTTTTTTCCAGTTCACTCTGGGAGTAACTGAGGAGCAGCAGGATATGATCCCACCCAGCACCAAATCCCTGCGCCAGCGCCGCTGCGTCCACTGCCTGCTGCAGGTACGATGCCCCCAGACTCCAGACAGGTTTCACTCATCAGCTCCTGAACCGCTTCCCACTGAGTACAGTTCAGTTCAGTAGCTTTTATTTGTCCCAGTATGGGCAATTTTTGTGCAGTAGTAGTTCACATTTCACAAATCACAGATTAAAAAAATAAAAGAAGAAACACAACAAACACGTAAAATATTGTAAAAAGATAAAAGTAAGGTGGATACAAGAAAGAATAATAAATACAGGTGCTGGTCATAAAATTAGAATATCATGAAAAAGTAGATTGATTTCAGTAATTCCATTTAAAAAGTGAAACTTGTATATTATATTCATACATTACATACAAACTCATATATTTCAGATGTTTATTTTGTTTAATTTTGATGATTACAAATGACAACAAATGAAAATCTCAAATTCATCATATCAGAAAATTAGAATATTGTGAAAAGGTTCAAAATTGATGGCCCCTGGTGCCACACTCTAATCAGCTAATTAACTCAAACCACCTGCAAAAGCCTTTAAATGGTCTTTCAGTCTAGTTCTATAGGCTACACAATCATGGGGAAGACTGCTGACTTGACAGTTGTCCAAAAGACGACCATCGAACACCTTGCACAAGGAGGGCAAGACACAAAAGGTCATCGCTAAAGAGGCTGGCTGTTCACAGAGCTCAGTGTCCAAGCACATTAATAGAGAGGCGAAGGGAAGGAAAAGATGTGGTCGAAAAAAGTGTACAAGCAAGAGAGATAACCGCACCCTGGAGAGGATTGTGAAACAAAACCCATTCAAAAATGTGGGGGAGATTCACAAAGAGTGGACTGCAGCTGGAGTGAGTGCTTTAAGAACCACCACACACAGACGTATGAAAGACATGGGTTTCTGCTGTCGCATTCCTTGTGTCAAGCCACTCTTGAACCACAGACAGCGTCAGAAGCGTCTTGCCTGGGCTAAAGAGAAACAGGACTGGACTGCTGGTGAGTGGTCCAAAGTCATGTTCTCTGATGAAAGTAAATTTTGCATTTCCTTTGGAAATCAAGGTCCCAGAGTCTGGAGGAAAAGAAGAGAGGCACTTCATCCACGTTGCTTGAAGTCCAGTGTAAAGTTTCCACAGTCAGTGATGGTTTGGGGTGCCATGTCATCTGCTGGTGTTGGTCCATTGTGTTTTCTGAGGTCCAGGGTCAACGCAGCCACATACCAGGAAGTTTTAGAGCACTTCATGCTTCCTGCAGCTGACCAACTTTTTGGAGATGCAGATTTCATTTTCCAACAGGACTTGGCACCTGCACACAGTGCCAAAGCTACCAGTACCTGGTTGAAGGACCATGGTATCCCTGTTCTTAATTGGCCAGCAAACTCTCCTGACCTTAACCCCATAGAAAATCTATGGGGTATTGTGAAGAAGAAGATGCAATACACCAGACCCAACAATTCAGAAGAGCTAAAAGCCACTATTAGAGCAACCTGGGCTATCATAACACCTGAGCAGTGCCACAGACTGATCGACTCCATGCCA